CTTCTTCTCGGTCAAATACATCTCGCACATGTATATGATCTACATTATTTAATTTTGGTTCAAAAATAACAGTACCTCGAGAGGCACATGTCGTCTATATTTCAAAAACCAATCTAAATGTGCTGGATCAAGAAGTTTGACTCCATTAATGGCGTCGCAGTTCTTGGAGTGGACGATGTGCTCGAGTTTGAAGAGGAAAAAATATTCAGTCTTGTTGGTACGTTTGCTGACCGTTTTTTGGGAATGCGTCTAGTGGTTGGTCTGGCTGAGTCGTGGGACGTGAACTGCAAACCTGAGGCCCTCCTGCAAACCGGGTGATGCCAGGATTGCCGAAGACTTGCTGGCACAAGAATGCTCTTGGGAAGATTGCTTCATGTATTGGGAAGCCGTTGTATGCGGATTGGTTTACAAAGGAGATGAAAAAGCTTCCGTTTGCCTGTCTCTTAGTGGAAATTGATTGTTCGGTGGATCAACAACCCGATCACATTATTGTCAAACTCCCTAATGGCGTCTCATTTGAGCAACCCATCACCTTTGAGAATCTACCTCTGTTTTGCACTCACTGTGGAAGCACCAGACATGTTACTGAAGATTGTTCACTAAGTTCTATTGACAAAAATTTGAAAGATAGAGCAGAGGCTTGCATTGAAGGTATTCAACAAACTGCATGCCCAAAGCCCAGTTGTGGAGGAGAACGTCATTGCTTCATCTGGTAAGAACGATTGCTCGCCAGATAATGCCCAGGTTGCCCTGTTAGTTGTTGAACATGTTTGTGCGGATAAATCTCATGGTGTGCCAGAGGGTGTGGGTTGTTCCCACGATGGGGATACCCGTTGTTCAAATTCGAAGGAATCCAGTGCTAATGGTAATGATGTGCCACAGGAAAATGATTCCGGCATTGGTGATTCTACGTCTGAGAACCAACCGGCTGATGCATTTGGGATCAGGAATATTTCTGATACTCCGGGCACAAGCAAGCAGAATATAACAAAAAGGAACAAGAAGAAGGAGGTGGCAGGCGGAGGCAGAGACTGTTATCCCGGGGATGCTTCTCTCTGGTGGGATTTTTAACTCTCATATCTGTGTTTGCTTCTTGTTGCTTTAATTTTCTGGTGTTCTTTATTGTGTTTGTGGGTTCTCCGGTGAGTTTCTGTTCGTTTGGAACAGTTTGCTTGTCATTTTTCTGGCAGAAACAGTGCTTCCAATGTTTTTCCCGTCGCTGGCTTGCATCTTGTAGGTTGGCGGTGGCCCTGTGTTCTTTGTCTTGGTTTCCGGCGAAAATTTTGTTTGGTTTTTGGTGGTTCTGATCGTTGCAGCATACTTCTCCTTTTTTCGGTGAGAATGGGTGGCCGGATTCCCCTTTCGGTTGTACTCGTTTGCTGGAAGGTTCATGCTTGGTGGTCGAGCCTTAGATTTTGTATTTAAAACGAAATAAAAAGCAAAATGACTATACTAACCTCACATATAAAGGCTAAATGACTATAGTAACCTCACACTTAACGGCTGAGACGGGAAGAAGTAACGGAAGGATGGTAGAAGGTAACTTTTCGCAACTCAGATGATGACGGGTGGTAATTACGGAAGTTAGGGACCATTGTTGGTGATGCCATTAAACTCGAGGGACCATAGGTGGTATTTACTCTATTTAATATTTAATATTTTATGCTCTAATTTTTATTTGCTCTCCCTTATATCCCGTATTTGGTTTCAATCATACTCATACAATTATTTTATTGACAATTATAATCAATCTTGACTATATTATCTTGTATTTGTAAACTTATAATTACCAATTTAAATACGCAAATTCAACATTCAATTATCATGAACAATTCTAATATAATCTTACCTTGATATACTTTAAAGTACTTATTTAAGAAAAACATTGGGCATTATCTCAATCGCGCAATGCGCGTAAAAAATTAGTACTTATATACATGACTCTTCATCATTGGGTTTAATGGAGTACGGTTGTTTTTTACTTAGGCCAATTAAGTTTTTGGACTCCTTTTAAATGATTCTTTACCCAAGAAATTTGATCCAAATTGGGTTATATTGCACCTCCGCAAATTATGCAATGGACTCGTGTCCACAATGGATTGTGGACACGAGTCCAAAACGACGTTGTTTTCAGGGAAAATGCGTCATTTTAGTTAATTTTTTTTTTTTTTTGATTTTGTCTCGCCGTTAACGGCGTTATTTGTTTGTGCCATTATGAATGTACAGTTATGGGATTATGAATGTACAGTTATGGAATTATGAATGTACAGTTATAAAATTATGAACACAGAGCTCTGACATTGTGAACTTACAATTATGAACATATATTGATAAAATTATGAACATAGGGCTCTAAAATTGTGAATATCGAGCTTTGAAAATTATGATTTTACAGTTATTGAATTATGAATGTACAGTTACGGAATTATGAATGTACAGTTATGCAATTATGAATGTACAGTTATGCAATTATGAATGTACAGTTATGAAATTATGAACACAGAGCTCTGACATTATGAACTTACAATATGAACATATTGTGATAAAATTATGAACATAAAGCTCTAAAATTGTGAACACTTCGAAAATTATGAAGTTACAGTTATTGAATTATGAATGTACAGTTATAAAATTATGAACATAGAGCTCTGACATTATGAATATATAGTAATAAAATTATGAACATATACTCCTATAACAATGCATGCTGGACACGGGTCCATAGCATAACGATTGATCCTCGACTAAATTTTAATGTGGATCATGGTCCAGGTAGGACCAAGAAGTTAGAAGTAAAACAATGTCGTAACATTTTTATTTTTTTTTTTTGAAAAAATTCGTTACATTTTAATTGTACTTTAGTTTCATTTGACAATATATGTTATTGTATGAGCTCCGTTTTTAATTTTATTATAGTATCATTGAAGTATCATTTTAATTATATTTTATGTTCTTTTGACAATATATGGTATTGTAAGAGCCCAGTTTTTTTAGTTTACTTTTTTTATACACACTAGTTTCATTATAGTAGCAATGAAGTATCATTTTAATTACATTTCATATTCATTTAACAATACGTTATTGTAAGCAATATGTTTTTTAGTTTCATATCTCACATACACTAGTTTTTTTTTTTTTTTTTTTTTTGAATACTATTCACATACACTAGTTTCATTATAGTAATGCTGAAGTATCTTTTTGATTACATTTTAGGTTCATTTGACAATATACGTTATTGCATGAGCTTTATTTTTTAATTTCATTTTCCACACACTAGTTTCATTATAGCAACACTAAAGTATCATTTTAATTATATTACGATTTCAGTTAACACTTAAGGTGTGTCATTTTAACACTAAAGGTACATCATTCTAAACTTAAGATACGTCATTTTTTAACACTGAAAGTGCGTCATTTTTAACACTAAAGGTGCGTCATTTTAATACTTAAGATGCATCATTTTAACAGTTAAGGTGCGTCAATTCAACACTTAAGGTGCGTTATGATACATCAGTTCAACAATGGTATGAGGAATGAACCAGTTCACAGGAAGCACATTTATAAAAAAAAAATCATTGATTTGAGCTGTTGATCTAGATGTGATCAACGGCTCAAATCTCACCCCATCTTTCACCTGGGAGACTATTCACACATGAACCATCATATATATATATATATATATATATATATATATATATATATATATATATATATATATATATATTCTGACTCCCATTAGAATTAGTAGCCACGTGAGAATGTGCAGACTAATCTCATCCCTCCATCTATAATAATCAAGTGTTGAAAATTAAGAAGAAAAAAAAAAAAAAGAGAAAAAAGCCGATGACAATTCCATGATTATAATGGTACATCTAAAAACGCTTAATAGTGCATCTGGAGATAACTAATAGTGCACACACATGAGTACACTATTTTAGATCATGAGTGTATTATTAGTTATCCATGAATGCACTACTATCAATTGTTTCTAAAGGTATAGTATCATCTTAATTATAGAAATGTCACCGTATTTTTTTTCTCTTAATTTTCAACCCTCGATCATCTTTAGATGGATTGATAAGATTAGTCCACAGATTCTCACGGGACTACTGATTCTTATCTAGTCTTGATTTTATGTGTGTTGTTGTTGTTATGAAATGTATGGACCAGATCATGGAGGAAGAGGCGGAGTTGGGGGTAAGAGCCCACACAACTCAAGAAGCAAAATCATCCACTATGTTGGTGGGATGTGAGAAACTAGTTAGCTATTAAGGAAAGATTCCAGAATAAGATTAGTGTAATTATTGTTCATGGTTCCCCAAATTAATTTTGTCATCTAAAAATAAAATACATTATTTCTATTTTAATTAACTCCAGGTAATACTAGATATATACTAGTTTAAGTGTGTCATGTTTTAAATTATTAAGTAGTCCAAAGAATCCAAATTGTTTTAAATTACAACATTGTCCTCATCATGAATGTTATTAACCCAAAAAGCTTAAGCAATGTATGTTCAATCCCCACTGCACTGTAACAGCTTCAGCAGAAAAAGGGTCTGCTATGGATCCCAACACAGAAAAAATGATGCTCAGATCACTTTTTCTCAGGCAAATATTTTACAAGATGAAGATTAATCAATACAAGGACTATCAAGGTGGGAAAGTTAAGGATTTTACCTTAACATCAAAGGCTAGGAAGTTGGGTTTGGTCTTGGTGTAATCACCAACTGATCACTGTTACCCTTTTCGTCATCGGTTCAAGCCATGGAAACATCTGCTGAAACCAGACATGCTTCAGAGCTTGCGCTTTGGGTTCACAGCTGGAAATTATGGAATTTCCGACCACCTAAAAGTGATCTTAAATCAAGTCGAAAACAAAAAGTGGTCGGAAATAGCAACAAAAGTTTTTCTGGATATCAAAAGTGGTCGGAACAAGACTTTCGACTTGATTTAAGATCACTTTCAGGTGATCGGAAATTCCATAATTTCCAGTAGTGGTTCAAGCCATAGCATCTTGCAGGTAAGAGGTCTGCGTGCTCCATAATTTGACTGAAGAGGAAACGTCGGCCAACCTTCTAAGGTCTCTCGCGGGTAAAAAGCTCCTGCCTTTTAGCGTCGAGGGATCTAAGATTGTCACGAATGGCTTGAACTTTGGAAGACAGATGCTCGCTGTGGCTTTCAACATCTTTCATAATACCAAGCAGGTGTTCCCTGTAGGCTGCACTGAGCCGTTTCTTGACTCGAAGTTCTGCTGTTAGTTCCTGAATTTTCTTGTCTTTCTCGTCCTGCAAAGATCACAAAGAGAACAAATTACGGAAGTGAAAAGAATAAGGCAATTGGATATATCAAATAAACATTTGACTATACATACAAAGGAACATGATTTTATTTTTTTTTTGGTGACAAGGGAAACCCGCAGCCACTACCCGAAGGTGTGCACCGGGTAAACCCCGCCTTGTGACCCTAGCTGGCAAAGGACCTCAAGAAGGTAAACCAGCTTAGGTTGCCCATAGCTAACCGGCTCAAACCAAGAGGGCTGGGATTCGAACTCGTGACCTTGTGGTTACAAGTTTGTATCCTTAGCAATTTTGGCTGGGGGTAGAACATGATTGGAAACCTGCATGAGAGACCTAGGCAATATTGGAAAATTTAAGGTCGTAGAAACAAAATCATAAGTTTGTCGTAAAACAAAGGAAGCTTACGAAAGTTGAATGTCTCTTGGGGAGTGACACCATCAGGGGATGATTATGGTCCTTCACAAACTTTCTTACCACCCATGTCCCGGGTTTTTCTCTCTTCATTAGGATCATTGCTGCACAGCTTTTGCGTCGTCTATCTCGCTTTACAGTTGCAGCGTTTCCTATCTTCTGAGTATCAGGAATCCCTCTACACCCGAGTCCTCGTGATATAGTCGAACCATCACGCTCAGACTTACGGGATGACAACACACGGGTTATAAACCCCGCCCTCCCAGCATACTCTACATAAAATGCTCTTGCTGCTGCTTCAGAGTCAAATGTCATCCCTTCATTTGGTTCTCGAATTCTATCGGTTTCAGATGGACTAACTTCCCCTCCTGCAGAGAATTCCGCTCTTTCAATGCTACCATCCACAGCAATTTGCACATCCACTGCAAAATTATATGTAATGAAAACATTCAATTCATTAGACTTTTGCACAAACAGATAGAGAAAAGAAGAATTCGCAACAAATGGTATACTATGGTGTAAGAACATGACATGGATTTGGAGCAATATATAAGGGAAATTTATGAGTGAAAATCACCAAATAAAGGATCCAAAGATCGTTAAATGTTCAACATGTTAGCTTTTGCATGAAAATATATAATTTAAACACTATTTCCATCTGTAGTTATTGAAACCGAGTCCCCATTTTAAAAAAAATTATTGCTATTAGAATTAAATGAACAAACATATTCTCAGAAGAATGATAGATTACCATACATCCGGTGTAAACCTATACAAAGCAGCATAAATCAATAGTAAGCCGGATGTTTCAGCACAATAATCATGTCCGGTTTTGCAACCAGAGACTAGAATAGCTTCTCCATATTTCAAGCTACTGCTATTCAGTATATAACAGTATTGTAAAATCGGTCTAGGCGGCTGCCTAGGCCGAGGCAATTTCAGCCTAGGCGCCTAGGCGGTTTTTAGTCCGCCAGACGACTAACTGGCCGACTAGGTGCCCTAGGCGCCGAGTTGGGCACCTAACTCGGCCGAGTTGAGCACTCTAACTTGGTTGAGTTGGTGCCCAACTCGGGCGTGTGGTTTTTTTTGCATACTCGGCTACTCCTCTTCTATATCTTTGCCAAGTACTCAACTAACCATCTAACATATGCATTTGACTAATTTGGAGGATTATAACAGTCTAACAACTCCCAGCCCCGAGTGGAAAAGGTAGAGACAATATACTCGGATTATCAGCCGCCTAGGCACTAGGCACCCTCGGGCGCCCGACTAGCGCCTAGGGCCTTCTACAACATTGGTATATAATCATAAAAACCATTGACTACTGTGAAAACCAAGCACATTTACAAGGAGATCAGTAATTCACAAGTAAGTTTTCTTAATTAATTCATAAATTTAAGTTCATTGAGAAAAAAAACAAGGCTTTTCAATTTTAGTGATTAAAGCAAGCTTCTTGAAAATCCATACTTCCATAGTGCACTCTATCTGGTAAAAAGTTAATTTCCCACTGATTTTCATCCTCTTATTATTGATATACTTTCAAACTTCTATTTTTCTAGGAGGGTAACAGAATTAATTCAATCTTTTAAGTAAAACTCCAACTTTTGCACACATTGAATTTTAGAAATAAAAATTCCAATTACTTAATAATAATTCCCAAATATTTCCCTTTCAAAGAGTTCTAAAATCCCCAAAGATGAAAAAAAAATTAAAAAATAAAAACCAGTAACTTCAAAAGTGCAGTCTTTTATATTTATATTGCAATCTATTTACCAATTAAACAAAACCCAAATTGCAGAAACACCCAAACGTCAACAAAAACGTCGAATTATTGAATGGCATAACAGAAGAAAACGGTAGACATACGAAAGTTTAGAGTACTTGGGATAAGATAGCAAAAAAGTTCTGCATCTTTATCTATATATACACACACACTGAGTATACGTATACCGCAAATAGATGTTTTAGAGAGAGGAAGCGAGAGAAGTACTTACTAACGGGAGCGTTCATTGCCGCAATTCTTGTGGTTATTGCCGAATAGTTCAAGTGAACAAAGGAGAAGAAGAAGAAGCAGCGTGTCCGGTTGGTTTGATTTTTTATTTTTTTTGGGTCTAAATGTTTATTTAATGATAATTATGTCTAAAATTTGTTAAGATTGACAATTTAATACTGTGTACCAAACTTACGAGTTTGTTATATTTGATTTTTTTTTTTTTTAACTAGTTGATCTCAGTTTTGTCAAATTAATTTTAAGTTCATAAAATTCGTCCCTAAAATCACTGCAGAGATAAATCACGAATCACATATTCAACACCGGTCAGACCATAGTAATTAATTCTAAATGTAATAAAAAATAATATTTTAGTTATCTTACGAATAATGCAATTACTAAGGTAATGGTTTTAGCCTTTAGGGACAGAGGAATCAGCCTCAAGGCATTGGCTAGCGTATACTTATTGTCCACACAGCGGTAATTTCGGTTTTTTTTTTTTTTACCTGATCCACTGCAACTTACATTTTTATAACTCATAATTATATTATTTTAAAATATAGGGAAAATTGCATATTTGGTCCCTGAATTATACCCAAGTTCCGATTCAGTCCCTGAATTATTACCGTATTCATTTTTAGTCCCTCAGTTATGAACAAAATGGCGCATTTGGTCCCCGACCGTTAAAATTGACGGAAAAATTATAAAATATTTAAAATTTGAGGGGTAAAGTAGGAAATTCACATTTTATTCTCCTTTTTATATCAAAATCACTTTCACAACATTATTTTTCATTTCTTAGCCTCTTATTTCAAGATTGTTCAATTCTAAAAGTATTTCAATAACTTTAGTATGACTTGTTATGAACCTGACTCTCGTATAACAAACTTATGACTTAGCAAAAATAAAAAACACTTGATCGGTGTCTTCAGACGTGTGAAACAGACTATCCTATCAATTTTCAATTTTTTTTTACTAAGCAACAAAGGTTATCAAATCAGAACTTTTGAGATACCAAATGATGTCAAATTTCTCAATTTGCTTTTATGAGAAATTCACCAACGGAATAACTTGAGATATTTAGTATGTAAATTTTATTTCATATGCAGTAGTTTCGTCAATAATCATTTTTAGAAGTTACAAAAATTTTTAGAATTTTCATAACTGAGTCTTAGGTTCCTCATTCATTACTCTGATTTTTAAGAAGACAGGGGAGGTGATGGATATATATATATATATATATATATATATATATATATATATATATATATATATATATATATATATATATATATAAAATATAATTTTCATATATTGTCAACATATACGATTCTTAATTAAGTTACTCTAAAGCTTACGAAAGAATTTTATGTACTAAAAATCTGAAATTACTCTCTGGGTGAATTTGTCATAAAAATAACCTGAGAAATTTGATATCTTCATGTATTTCAAAAGTTATGGTTTGATTACCATTATGTTTAGTAAGGGAAATCAGAAACTTTTAGGATGGTGTGTTTTACATGCTTGATGACAATGATCAAGTGTTCTCTTGTTTTTACTGAATCACATGTTCCTTATACGAGACTCAAGTTACTAACAAGTCATACGAAGATTATTGAATTGCTTTTGGAATTGAAGAATCTTTCAAAAGAATGCTAGGAAGTTGAAAATAATGTTGCAAAAGTGATTTCAATATAAGAAAGAAAATAAAATGTGAATTTACTACTTTACCTTAAAATTTTAAATATTTTTTAAAATTTTCCGTTAGTTTTAACGGTCAGGGACCAAATGCGCCACTTCGCTCATAACTCAGGGACTAAAAACGGATACGGTCATAACTCAGGGACTGAGTCGTTACTACCATTATAACTCAGGGACCAAAATCGCAATTTTCCCTAAAATATAATATACTCCCTCCGTCCCGAATTGGATGTCTCATTTACTTTTTGCACGCTTTTTAATGAATTAAAGTAAATGTTATGCACTTTCCAATTATGCCCCTCACTTTTTCACTTTTGGAAATAAAAACAATAAAGAAAGCAAAAGCTAGAAGGGTAATTTGAAAAAAAGTGGAATGATAGTGATGTTCAATTTTGGAAAGTGGACAACATTTTGGGACAAACTAAAAAGGAAAGTAAGACACATAAAATGGGACAGAGGGAGTACATTATTTTAACTCATAAAGTATATTATCTTACTCCATAAGTTTTATTATTCTAACACATAATATACATTATTTTAACACATAAAATACATTATTCTAACACATAATGTACATTATTCTAACACATAAAATTCAATGACCTCGTTTTGAACCGTATACAATTTGGGCCTGATAGCGGGTGCACGAAGTCCAGTGAAGTCATAAAACTTGAGTTATTATTTAAAAATAAATAAAGGAATAGAGGAATCAGATAGTTGGCAGTTTGACAGAGCTGAAACAATGGACATTTCACAAAAACAAAACAGAATAATTTGGTGATTTCATTATAAACTTGTTAAGTAGTGTAACAAATAGTATGACAGAAAGCATGGAAGAAGATTACAGAAGCCATAGCCAAAGATGAAGAAGACACACACAACACACACTGGACATTTAATAAGCAAGATAAACAGTGATGTGCAGCACAGTTTGCACTCCATCAGTCTCCTGCTGGTTGGGTGCAGCCGGAATCGTCTTCACCGTCGCGAATCCCTTGGCATTCACGTACTTTCCGGTACCTCCCATGATAGCAAGGTGAGATTCCGAGACACGAATCCGGTGAACCCCGAAAAAGGTAAGGCTATCGGAGTAGCTACCACTGTGAAACATGACAGTGAATGCCATGGTCTGGCTGGTTCCGTCTTCCGAGCTTGCGATGTAAAAGCCCTGAGCTTTTCCCACCAGGCCGGAGTTTAGCTCGTGCCCCTCGGTCAGTTCATCGTCGAAAACTGTCATGGTGCCGAACATGAGTTTCTGGAAGGTGATTCCGGAGCCCAGTTGAGCCATGTTCAAGGCCGGGAATCCAAAACCTCCTCCTATTATGTTGTTGTTGTTGTTCCCATTGTTCTGAATGGCGTTGCCTGTGATTCCGCTGAGGCCAGTAAGGAACGGGATGTTGTTGTTGCTGATGATTCCGCTGTTGGCGTTATTGACATCAACACCGTTGTTCACTGCGAGGACAGCACCGTTGGGTTTTGCAAAGGCGACCTGCCCACTCACAGCAGGATTGGTCACAATCCCGGTAACAGCTATAGCAGAGGGGTTCGATCCACCAAGAATATCGTGCATAAAGAAGGAAAATGTATGATCATCAGGACCTTCACCACCAGCGGCTGCAGCTGCAGCTGCACCAGCACCAGCGGGAGACGCTCCGCTGGCTGTAACCCCAGAAACCGGGGTGGCAACCGAGGCAGGGGTTTCAGGTTCAACACCTGGGGAAACGGGTTCCTCTTCTAGAACTCGACCTGACACAGCAGCAGCAGTTAACATTAGGGACATAACAAGTGAAACAATAACATTCTTGAGTAGATTTTTGGTCGACATCTTCAATGGAGGAGCGTTTAAGGTTTTCCTGATGCTTCAGTAAATTTTTTGCAACAATGTAGTTGATGAACACTAGCACCTCGACAGATGCATATATATACCTGCAAGTTCGATGCAAAATCATTCAGAAGTTGGAATAAGGCATTAGTGGAGTTGATGAGATGAATTAGGTATATACATCTCCACTGTCTCAAGTGTATTTGTTGGAGGACATGCAAAAATCATTTCATATTAAAGTAGTAATTGGGGATTAGGTAAGGAATATAAATTTAATCATAAAGGGAGTACAAAAAGTAGGGAATAAAAGCCAGTTGACCAGTTGTGCTTCCATCTTCATCACTAACTCAAAGACATTTACCAATGCTACAATATTCAAAGACAAACCTGGGATTGGTAACATTCCAAAGACAAATGGCAACAGGAAATTACCCATGCCACTATATTTATTTTACTACAATGTCATAAAAGAATGTAACAACATGACAACATATTACATATATAGGTCATGTTTGGTAACATAGTTAGCTTATCAGTCAATTTTGACTTGTTTGACAATTATTAGTGGTTTGACTTAGTTAAACAGCCAATATGAGAGTTTGATTATTTAACTTTTTGTAACAGTTTATTGCTCCAAAACATTAAAATTCAAAAAACTGTTCAAAACAGCTTTTTCGATTAGCTTTTTGAGAAAGCCATTTTGCATGTAATCAGCTAATAACTAACAGCTAACTTACCAAACATCTTTCTACAATCAGCTAATGCTATCAACTAGTCAAACCCACTAACCCAATCAGTTATAGCTTATCAGCTAATAACTATTTACCAAACACCCCCATAGTGCACATATCTCCACTTTATTGGCCTATATTGCAGATGAGTTTTACACTTTTACCTGGACCACATTGCAGTCAGTAATATTAAAGCCTTTATGGGTTGTGGCAATCCTTCCTAGAAAAGTTTTCCAGGTCAATTCTGATAAGTTTAAGGAGTTGTCCTCTTGTCAATAAAAATCCCCAGTAGGTCATATCCCAAAAAACATATCCAAAATGAAGCATCACAATTTGCCTTCTTCACTTATCAACGCCATATTTGAAGGCTTTTAAAACTCTTTCCAGCTGCTCCCTAATGAATTCCATTGTTGTTCCACACTCATCATGGATGCCTGGCATTAAAACCATCCAGGCAATGTTGTACATCACCATGACAACAAATGAACAGAAACCAAATGAGGTGTTTTGGTCACCATCAACAAGAACAAAATCAAGACCTCAAACTTTGAAAATGTGGGCTGGTAAGATGCTCAAGCAATCATTCAGCTCCCAAAGCCAAGACTCACAACCTAGGCCAACCAATAAGTAAATCGGCTCACTTGTTGTGAGCCTGATAAAGTTATGTTATTCTACAATTCCATTAGTTAGAAGACACAATTTCAGTTATATGATTATTGAATGCTTTGTCACAAGTGCAGGAATCCTTGACTATGGCTTCCCATGACTCAAAATCAAACATCTTCTTCCTCTTCGCCATTTCCTCTAAAATAAAGTATGCATCATCAACCTTCCCGCAGTCAAATAAGCCCATTACTAGAGAACGAAGTGTTTCAGTGCGTGGGAAATGGCCACTCATCAACATTGCATTGAAAACCTTCAAACCTTCTTCGAATTCTCCGGCCTTACAGAACCCATCAACCACCATTCTGTATGTAGTGGCATTTGGTTTGCAACCCGCAATTTGCATTTCAACCAAAACTCTGTAAGCCTCAGCAGCTCTATCTTCTCTGCAAAAATAACTAATCAGCATATTATAGATTGCAGCATCAGGCTTGATATGCCTTTTCTTCATCTCAACGAGCAAACTTTTCGCCTCTTCGATTTTGCCTCTCTTCCCAAGATCACTCACCAAAACGCCATAGTTAACAACCTTTGGTTTACACCCCCGGTATTCCATATCAAACATTAACTTCTTGGCGTCCTTGTACCTCCCCAAAAAACACAACCCTTCCATCAGCAAAGCATAGGTGACCTCATTCGGCTTTGTCCCTTTCCTAACCATATCCTCAAACAAACTCTTCCCCTTTTCAAACTCACCCCTTTTGCACAAAAACCCGATCTGGGAATTGTACGTCACGACAGTGGGCTCAACCTCTCTCTCGAGCATTTCATCAAACACTTGGCGTGCCCTTTCATGTTCGCCCTTCTCCAGATACATTTTAATCATGATATTAAAAGAAACCGAGTTGGGACGAAACCCCAGCTTCCAAGAACCCTTGAACATGTCATAAGCTTCGCAATGCCTGCCATTCTCCACCAACACATTGAGAAGCGTATTGAAGGACTGTATTGAGCGGACACAGTTGAAAGACTCCTTCATCTCGCGGAAAAGATGAATCGCCTTCTCCACCAACCCACATTTTCCGTAGTGCTCAATCAACCCAATGAAAAGGGTCTCTCTGCAGTGGACATTGTAGGTCTTAAGGCAAGCAAGAAGGGTATCGACGGCTTCGAAGTTCCGAGACTTGGCGAGTTTGTAGATGAGGGAAGAGTAGGAAGGGTAGTAATGGTTGAAGCCCATTTTCCGGTAATCATGGAAGAGGGAGAGGAGATGTTGTGGGTCATGGGTTTGTTTTAGATCATCGATGAATGGTATTGGGTTGCGCTGAAGGAGCCTGCTCGGCCTTGGCGGCGGCTCTGAGGCAGGTCGCCTAGGAGGAGTCCGGCGAGTGTGGTATGATTTGGATGTGGAATTGATGATCGCGAATCTACACTTGAGTAGTTTTGATCGTAGTTTGATCATGGAATCCAGTAGAAACATTCGCGCCACCCTGCTGATAGTATAGTTGGAGAAGAGTCGCAGTAGCAGGATTCGAGGGAATTAAGGAAACTTATGAGACGATTTTTAATAGAGTTAATAACCAAAATGATTCCTTACTATAGGGTGTTCAATCGATTAACTAATTGGTTAACTGAACCGTTTTAATCCAAGTTTTTTTTTTTTCTTTAACTGTTAATCGAATCAAAGTTTGCTCTATCGAATTCACCAAATCAAAATTTTTTCGGTTAACCGAACTTTTTAACGCTAAAATTTAGAATTCTACAAATAACACCTAAAATAATAAATTCAATTAAAATAAAATACATATCATAATAAATTCATAACAAAATATAAAAAACATGCATTATAAACTCCAAACATCCATAACTTCAAATTAGTATATATATATATATATATATATATATATATATATATATATATATATATATATATATATATATATATATATATATATAGTTCCGTTCAGGTGTGAATTTAGGATTAAGTGTGAACTTGTGCACCGCTACCAGCCGTTCATTCTGTTATGATCTACGCATACAAACGGGGGTGCACGGTCCAATATGTGCATCCGGCGTATTGGATCGTTACCCCGTGAAGTTAGGGGGTGCGTGTGTTCTAGTGTTCTAGTTCTCCCTCGACTCTACCATTCAGACTTTTACTCAACCCCTTACTGGAGTCCGATCGAGCCTCTCAGCCCCACAGTAATCCTACCATACAATCGTTCGTAGCAGCATGAACTGGTGCTAGTGGTCGTCGCTCGATGCGTGGAAGAGCCGGCCATCAGTTGCCTCCTTTGACCTCTCCGTCGGCTAGTTCCCGGACATTCAAACAGCTGGGGCGTCGCCGGACCACTATCCAGCATTCGATCGGCGATCACCGCGGGGGGTTCGACTGGGCGGCACCGGGTGTAGCATCCAGGGTGTCGGCACGGAGGAGGCTGGCTCAGCGTTGCAGGCAGAAAGGTGAGTTCTCTATATTTTTATCGGGGTGTGCGGTGGCTTGGGTCTGTGTGGGCTGGGGTAATAAGGGTGTTTGGTTGTACAAGAATTTGAATTTTTGGCATCAAAACATTGGGTATGGCGGTGGTGGGGGTAATTACTGGTTGGGGCGGGGGGCATCAAATATAGTGTGCATTTTGCTCCAATCTTTGAGAATTGATTACTGAAACTCAGTTGCTGTAAATTTCAATTCTTTGATGCGATTCAATCGTAACATCCGGTTGAAAAATTTGTCCTACAGTGATATATATAATGTTGCATTTTAATTAGCTGGATTGGGATATGTGGGTTTACACATGCTGAATTGCTATATAATCATTCATCAGATTCTTTGATCAGAAGCAGCGATCAGTGGGTAAATGTGTCTTGAACCACGGGGATATATATGGTGATGCATTTTAATAAGCTAGATTGGATTGTATGCTTTTATCCATGCTTAAGGGCTATGTAATCATTCATAACATTCTTTGATCAGAAGCAACAAGCTTTTAGCTGTCTGGTGCTAGGCTGTCTGCATTTTTGTCTCTTAAACTGTTATTTAAATTTACAATAGACTTGTGCATAATCATTCATCAGATTCTTTGATTAGGAGCAGCAATCAGTAGGTAAATGTGTCTTACAGTGATATATATGATGTTGCATTTTAATAAGCTAGATTGGATTATTAGCTTTTTTCCATGGTTTAGTGCTATGCAATCATTCCTATCATCCTTTGACCAGAAGCATCAAGCTTTTAGCTCTCTGGTGCTAGGCTGTCTGCATTTTTGTCTCTTAAACTGTTTTTTAAATTTACAATAGCCTTGTGCAGTGCGTAAGGCTATGCACTCATTTGGATTCCTTGCGTTTAAAAGTTTGGATATAAATTAGCTAGAATTTTTCCAGTACTGCATGTGTGTTTAACAGTTTGGATGTTATCTCTTGTGGTGCTCATGGGTTCTCATTTATTTGCATAGGATCTGATTACCGTCACCCGGTTCTGCTAAGTGATGGTGAAAGTGGGGAAGGTGATGTTTTCCACACTCCGCCATTACAGCACCCATACAAATAGTATTGCAGCACGCGTTGCGGGCTTTGAAAGTAAAAGATTGGCACAGATGCATCAGTGATCAGGACGGGGGGCAGCTTGGAATAAATTTTGCTAGTAATTAGGCCTCCAATATGGAGTTTTTGTTTTTTTTGTGTGGTTACAGTAGATATGTTAGTTTGGCTGAAATTATCGTAGTTATTTGATGCACCGAGCATAGTGCACTGCTCTTGGCCTGATTTATTGGGAGCTACTGTGTTTATGAGGTCCAATTATAGCTTCCATACCTAACACTATCTAATTTTTTCCATTACCAGTACTGTATGCTTCTGCCATGGTAGGTATTAATAACTATGCCATGCACAATCAAACCCAAATCACTTAATCCTGATATACATGATTAGACGAAAGAACATTAACAAACATACAACGGGTGATATAACTATAGACGAATGAGCAAAACAAAACCCACCGGTAATCCATGAACAACGAAATGACAAATCACAACTTCATTGCACCACTTTATTATTATTATTATTATTATTATTATTATTATTATTATTATTATTATAATTATAATAATAATAATAATACTTATTATTATTATTATTATTATTATTATTATTATTATTATTATTATTATTATCATTATCATTATCATTATCATTATCATTATCATTATCATTATCATTATCATTATCATTATCATCATTATCATTATTATCATTATCATTATTATCATTATTATCATTATCATCATTATCATTATTATCATTATCATTATCATTATTATCATTATCATTATTATTATTATTATTATTATTATTATTACTATTATTATTATTATTATTATTATTATTATTATTATTATTAACTATATTTTCTGCTCCACTACAGTAGAACCTCGTTAACTGATTACCACAAGACATTGAACACCCTAAGAACTGCAATTTCAAAGGAATGCAACAGCTATTTGTATTAAATAGAGAGCAAGAACATCCACCAAACCCAATTTAACCTTCATACATGCATTCAAATTTTATTGGCGGGTAATCAGTGCACAACAAACAGCCATGTGGCTCTGCACAACGTCCCTAGCGGATGTTGCAGGTGACCTATGCTAAATACGTGGTAGCGAATTGAACTAAAAGTAAAGGGGAATAAAAATAACCAGCTTAAACATACTACATACTTCCCAGCAAGCTACTTTGATCTGAAAAAAATGATAGGATCCAACTCTCCCGTTCAGCAAATATTTTGCAAAACAACCGATGGTTTGCTAGCTTGTATTCATCCATTAATAGTTGTCATTGCGCCTCAAACTCAACAATGCAGATTCCCTCGTTCCAGACGATAGCATTTAGTTTCTTGCGAAACTCATTGTCCTTAGCCAACGCACTCCCTAGCTTTTCGTTAACCTTTGTCATGATGTGCCACATACAGTATCGATGGCGGCACTCTGGTAATACCTGTTGGATTGCAATTCGCATAGCTGGGTCTTGGTCCGTCACAACGCACACTGGACTCTTACCCATCGCAGATTTAAATTTATCCAACAGCCAGCTGTATGAGTCAACGTCTTCCTTAGTGGGCAAATCGGCTAGCTCCAAAAGTGATGCATCGCTTGTGATTGTCCACACCAGTGAATGGCACAAACACCATGCTATACATGCACAATAAAAATGGATGTGTGATTTGCTAAGCCATATTTAATGTACCAGCCGTATGCATGCAGTACAAATAACTTGGCAACAAAGCAATATTCTTCTAAAGGAATGTAAAAATGTAATAAGTGGAACAAAGGGAGCAACGACCCCCCACAGCAAAGGTATGGAATATGTGTGATCAAATACACAAAGGAAGTGCAAAAACACAAAATCATTAATTCCAATATGGCTATTTTTATTTGGAAAAAAGATTGAATTCATTCCTTTAAAAAAAAAAATTAAAAAATCGTAACTTTAAAGAGGGAACATAAAAAAAATGAATTTGCATGGACTCTCATAAAAAAATTTGAGTTTGCACTGGGGTAGATGCTTCAGAATGTTGCAAATATACTAATAATAACAAGGGGATTGGTGATCGGATTGCAACCACGTACCTGTTCCGATCCTGGCTTTGCAGTTAACTCTATTAGAAAGCCGACGGCGGCGCTCTCGCTTATCTCCCGTATTGTCACCCCGGTCATGAGCAGTGGGTATCCTACCACCACCTTTCACCCCTTGCCGACTACACACCAAGTACCGCGAGTAGATTTTTCCGTCTCTGTCGCGTTTCACGGAGCTGCAACGAACATTAAACCCAACGGTTCGAGCGTAGTTGATGTAGCATTGCACACCTTCGTTTAGTGTTTTAAATACCCGTCCCGTTGCTGGCAGTACCGAAACATCTCCGGCGGGGGGCAGTTGGTGTTGGTCAGTCCGCATTAAACTCATTGCACAGCCGGGGGTGGGATCTGCTTCCGGGATCAGCACTCGCTCTTCTGCACAAACACGAAGTTAGAGGTTACACCGTCGTTGGAGTCGCTCATCATCACCTCTCATCTGTACGACCGTACTTGGGATTACGGATGAGAGTACGACAACAGCGTGAACAACCAAACAAATAGGTGTTGTATGCACTCTCAAACTCTCTTCAAATAATTTGGGAGGGAAGTTACGCAATACTGGTGTGGATCCCATGTTGCGAGGTGCGTAACCGTATGGTGCGCGGTCAGTTTTGGGGCGTACGATCTAATACATCGATGCACCAGATTGTTCCGCTCGTTCACACGTTAATAATGGTTTGCACCTGAAAAATAGCCTCTCTCTCTCTCTATATATATATATATATATATATATATATATATATATATATATATATATATATATATATATATATATATATATATATATATATATATATATATATATATATATATATAAAACTTCGGTTAACCAACCTTTCGAACCGAATTAACCGTTAACCGAAGTTTTAAAATTTCTTTAACCATTAACCGAACCGAAAAAGTTTGGTTCG